TGGCTGTGAACATTTTAAACTAACACGAGTCTCATTAAGTGTCCAGTTTAAGGGTATTACACAGAAACATACCAAGGGAACATGAATCAAGTATGTATCTTTATTCATTTACAATAAACTCATAAAGTACATCATTCTGATTGAAGCTAAGGGCATACAAAACTGTCTAACAGTTTGGGCAATGCGACAACGAACCCTAAACCGCCTAGGCAATGCCTAGGTGTTGCCTTGACAACTATGATTACAACTTGCAGAATAGAATCTTGCTTGATTTGAAGGCTAGGAATGGAGTTTTTAGTTGAAATTTGGTGGGTGAGGTTTTTGAGGGTTTGGGACTCATTGGTGTGGTCAAATGGGTCTAATGAAGCCTGCATCTAGGGGATTAATGAGATCATGGTTCTTGAACAATGAGTATAGCTGAAAAGGAATCTTGCTTCAATCATGGGGCAAATGATGGATCATTGAGATGAAATTTGACAAGCAAGGTCTTGGGGTACCTAGAGTCTTTAGGAGTGCTAGATTAGTCGTTTGAAGTGTCTAAAGAGAGATTTTTAAGTTACAGGGGCAAGTATCCACTTTTTGGGTGCTGACACATGGGAAATGGGGTAGTGTTCAGCTCATAAGTTAACTTGCTATCCCTATGGCTAGGGACCTATAGGAGGAAGGTAGACTACACATTATGCTCACATGCTTATGGGGAGTTAGGGTGCTTTTCACCCCCCCTCCAACGCGAGTCGGGCAATGTTGGGTTGGGATGTGTGTGTATACGCATCACATTGTATCCTTTTTAAATGATTATGCTTTGACCGTTTATTTTAAAAATCTGATTAACTGCTTTATACGCTTTTGTGTCCATTTGTGTGACTAAAAACTCTCTATAAATAGAGTGTTGGTCAACTAGGTGGCACAAACTACTAAAGATTGTTTTGTTGTTTTCTGTCCATTAATTCTAAGCATTTTTCAATTATGATTCGTGGAAGACTAGTAAGCGAGTGCACATATATCAGAAGCATGTGGACTATTTCATCTTGAAAGATGATTTGCAAATTCCCATTTACGCCATAAGGGGAGAAATGTAGTTTTAAGGAGAGTGACCAAGTGGCACAACTCAGCCCATTCCATATTCTATACAGAGTACAATGATTTTGCAATTCACAATCAACATTAAAGGATACTTTGCACCACTATTGCACCCCAGTTTGTATTTGCACATTAGTTTTCAAGCATTGTAGTGTTTCACACCTTGTTATGGGTTCGGATGACACAAAAATAATAAGTTTCATTCTCCCTTTGCTACTAACTTTACAACTATATATCATAAAGAGATCTAATATTGAGACCTCATCTCCTTAATAGGTTTGCACATTTTGGCCCAACCAATCCAATACATTCTATTCCCATGAACCGTGGCTCCACACAAAAAGTTAAAAATAGAATGAATTTTTCTTATAACTACTATAAGAGGTGAAACCACACTAAGAATATGTATCAACATTGATTAGAGAATGTGTTTTATAAGAATCAATCGACCTCCCAATTGAATACAATAGTTTCCCTTTCTACCCTTCAACTTTATTTTTACTTTTCATCATTAAAGGATCAATGTCAATAATTTTCAGGCTTCTGAAACCAATAGATTCTCCAAGATATATAAAAGGGAATAGCTTTTGCTTAAACCCAATGACATTCTTAATCATATTGACCGTTGAGCTATGCATTTTTTAGTACACTATAAAGCAAGATTTCTCTTTACTTCTTGACCATAAGCTTTCTCATAAATAGAAAAAAAAAGGRCGTGAGGTTTCATAAGGCCATGTTTCTCTCCTCTAGTAAGGATCATTATATCATTTGCAAAAAAGGCTATGAGAGATAGGCATACTAGCCCTTGGAAGAAAATAGTAAGGAACATTACCATTTCTATAAATAGCATGAAGGCCTCTACTCAACACTTAGTAAAGATAAAAATACTATGAGAAAGAGGGTCATCTTGTCTCATGTTGAACGAAAACACCCTATTGGAGAACCATTGATCATCACGGAGAACCAACAGTTGCAACTTCAGAGCCTAAGCAAGTCAACCCATATGCTGTTGAAACCAAATTTGTGAAGGACAGTGAATATAAAATTCCAATTCATTTTATCGTAAGCCTTTTCCATCTCCAATTTAATTATAACATTACCACCCCTTGTTTTTCTATTAATTTTAGAAACCATTTCCTGAACAATATCATATTACCACTAATGCTCATCCCTTTAACAAAAGCACCTTGCTCCAAAGAGATTAACCTTGGCAAGGTAGTTGAGATCCTGTTTGTCAAAATTTTAACATGAATATTGTAGAAAAAGCTACATAAACTTTTAGGTCGGTAATACGACAAACTCCTAGGGGCGTCCTTCTTAGGGATCAACACAATAAAAGTGGAAGTATATCAGGAAGAGATTTAACTAATGTAGAAAACTTCTCTAATAGCATTACAAACATTTCCTCCCACAATATCCAAGAATGAGTGAAGAAATTGCCATCAAAACCATTAGGCCCAGGGACACAGGGCTCACAGAGAAGATAGTTGACTTCATCACTAGAAAGTAGAAACCAAGGTATAATATCTAATAGCATTACAAGCATCTCCTCCCACAATATCCCAATAACGAGTGAAGAAATTGCCCCAGGGGCACTTTCAGGGCTCACATAGAAGATAGTTGACTTCTGACTTCATCAGTAGAAACCAAGGTATAGTATCAAATAAATAGTCATGCACTTGGCATCCTTCATTTGATAAAATGTCTTCAGTGTCATTGTCCCAATCACATAAATTTATTTTGAATTTTCGTAGAGGAATGGAAATACTTGGTATTTTGGTGCCCATACCGTATTCATTTCTCGTAAGATTATTGCCTTAAAAGCCTCCTCCTTTGCCAAAATTTGATGAAGATGTTCATTTGCAGAGTATCAGATTTTGATTACTAACTGAATTTTCATTGTGTATCCAATTCCGCATTTGCAACTTTTTGCTCTGCTAATAATACATTCTCAGAAACACCACCGAAAGCTGAATCATTGCATTGCTTTAAACGGATTTTCAAATGCTGCAATTTTTCTAATAGGATGAAGAGATGCTTCCCAGTTATAGTATAATTCCATCTCTCTATCACTACATCACGAAAACCTAGGTGAAGAAGCCATGTTCTTTGAAATTCGAAAGGCTTAATACCATTTGCCAAAACATTGTTAACAACTACCAACAATGGCACGACACGCTTTATTAAGATGAAAAACTCTAATAGAACTGAACATAACTTGCCATCTAAGATCTAACATTAACAAGATAATGGTCAAGACGGGCAGCTGAATATCCATTGGCTTGAGTGAATCTGTTGCCCAAGTCCAGTAGTCTCAGATTTAAAATGAAGTTATTAAATTCACTGATTGGTCCAAGAGCTAAGCGACATCTCACTCAGTCGAATTGGTGACTACATTGAAGCCGCCTCCCAAAAGCCAAGGGAATATCCACATTAGAGGCAAAGTCCATTTAGCTTTTTACAGTTGCAATAAGCTAATTTGAATAAAAAAGATGCCGATCAGCCAAAAACTAAAAAAAATGCTTTTTTTTTTCTCAAAATTACAATCCTAAAACAAAACACTTTGAACGCGTACCAAGTGTCTAAGTTGTTTTGCTTTTGAGAATTGGGGCTGCCAAAGTCAATCAAAGAATATATACTTTTTTTTGGCTGGAACTAGGGGAAGCTTCTTGCACTCATTACAGAAACTTCCATTTGGATGCTCACCTTTTAATTATATATACGATGCATGTATGTATTTGTTCAGATGGGCTAGAGTTGGGTTCAGGCCTAGGTTGGGTTGGGCTGGGCTTGGATCGGACATGAGCTAACTGAGGCCTCAACCCCAAGCCCAAATCTACCTTTCCACAGTTGCTATAGTCCAGGTTGAGCGAAGGGGATAACCATGAGTTAATTTCACAGGGAACCACGATACAATGCCAGTACTCAAAGCCCTTGCGCAACATGCCAACATCATTTGACAGTGAAGTTTTACTGCACCAGTAAAAGACACTGAGATCACTACTAGTCTACTACATCCTCCAAAACAGAAACCCTTTGATCAAAAAAATACCAACTGAATACCCAATTAACCAATAATACCATTATCAATAAACCTATGTTTTACAAAGTGATTTTTTGTGGTCGTCTCATTAAATGACCCCAAAATGAACCTTTAGGCTTAGTTTGGAAGGAGTACAAATACAAATATGTAGAGTGCAAAACCTTATATTTTGTATGTATTTACACTGTATATATTTGCATTTGTACTCTTTCCAAAGTGAGCCTTAATGATAAAACATAATGAAATACAGGGGGGGGGGGGCGCACAGGGGTATGCATTTAAATTGATGCTATTATAGGGCAATACCCGTTTGAGTAGCTTACTTGTATATTTTAGTTGGAGGAACCAAGTAATTTGTCTTCCTCCTTTGGGATGTCGCTCATGGATACCTGCATGCCTGACTTAATTTTATTCCACTCATTCTCCACACGGAAGAAAATCCACTGGAAGCGTCGAAGAATCTCCAAGGCCGTGATAGTAAAAACAGTCAGGTAGTTATGGCGAAGATGAGCAGACAGCTTATATGTCCAAGTACAACGGAGGACAAGGTTGCTTCCTATCACCCAAAAGTAAACCTGCAAAACTTAACATTTCATAATTACTTTTTGTGCACATTTAAAACTACCAGAATTTCATTATAGCCGGAACCTTACCCATTGTCGTCCATACAATAGGTTTGAGCAGATATGCTGTTTGCTGAACTTGAAAATCCGAGTGAAGCCACTATCAAATGAGAAGACGAGTTAGCACATAATTTTCTTTTCTTTTTCTTGTTTCCAAGAAGAAATGGTAGTAAAATACTAAGGCTGTGTTTGGTTGCAGTGCAAATTTATTTAAACTAGTACAAATGCATGGGAGTGCAAATGTAAAAAATGCAAATTATTGTTTAATTTTGTTTTGGATTTTACTTTATTCTGTTTCATGTCTTAATTTACTCAATCTGTACTGCAATCAAACAAAATAAGCTAAAATTTGAAACAGAAATAGGTCAGAATCTACACTCAAATCATTTGCATTGTCATGTTTTGCATCAGTGCAAATTTATTTGCATTGCAACCAAACACAGCCTAAACTACATAATAAGAAAAGAAATTCATGTATACCTCAAGTCCCAATCACGGGTCACATCCCAGTAAAATGAGTAGAGCGAATTTACAACACTTGAAAGAAGCCAAAGGGGGCGAAAATTATTTGTCCACCTATCAGGGAGGACGTGATATTTAAGGGCTGAGAGAAAAATCACTGGGACAGCCGTTGAATATTTTAAAGCTGAAAAGCATACATATAAGTAAGGTTAACCAAAACAGTCATTAGGGCAAAAATGCAATCTATATGGAAGACCAACTAGTTAATCAAATGAGCATACAAGACCAACTAGTTAATCAAAAACAGAGTTCGTACAAGCATCTTACTGTTTACAAAAAAGCAGAAGAAATTTAATGTCGTTCAACACACTATATAGGGAAGCTCCTATTCAACCTTACCTATCTCTGCCATGTGGAAGAATTTTGTAGCCAAACATAGAAATGTCTATCATATAGAGGGCCCTCCTAACCAGTCATATTAATTCCTCTCTCTCTCTCTCTCTCTC